TATCTTTTAGTTATTTTATGACTAGTGTGCTGCACTTACATAAATGTGAAATGGATTGAATGAAACTTTTTAATCAAAGTTATTTTCTAGCCAGTCAGTTGCTTACAAAAGCAACAAAATACTTCTATTTTAGCAGTAAAACTTGCAATCTTGTTTTAGAAATATATTTGACACAATTATTTTCCCTAATCACATGTTGATTTACAATTATTATTAATATTATTATTATTGCTTCTATTATTAAGTCTCTTTAATATTTTATTAGTCAAAACCCTCTGTCTAATCTGCTCTTATTTCTCAGGGAGAAGAGCCAAGCTGACAAACTATCACCATCAGGTCGTCTGATCTACCTGTTTTTAATATTGGCAGAGAATTAATTTTTTACCCACTTAGGTTCATATTTCTGCTATCTCAAGACTTAATAAAAATGTAATTATTTTTCTTGTCTGTCTTAAAAAAATCAGATATAGAAGAGCAATACCTACCAATTTTAAAATCCGTCAAGTTAAGAGATTCTGTTTACCACCTTCTCCGTTATTTTTGGAACACAAAGTATGTCATCACCCCTCTGAGAAATACATACTTAATCCTGCTCTTTAGCTAGTATGTAACTGGATTATTTACTAAATATTTAAATATTTTTTGAACTTTTTTGACAATTCAGCTATTTTACACTGATGAAAAATTGTCAGAGGATCAGAACAGGATTCTCAGGGGTTATTAAATATCAGTATCATTACTTAACCAGCAAAAATATAATGAAAAGTATTTACAAGTCTTGAATTTAAAAAACAGAACACTTTCAATGCTTCCTTTTTACTTTTGGGTTTATGAACCTCGGATCTTGTTCCTATGCTTTTCTCTACCAGCTGAGACATAGAAATTTAATTTCACTAGTAAAAAGGTAGTGTTTTTATTTTAATTATCTGAGTCCAGAAGTTAGGATCCTAATAAAATAGATCAACCACCAAGAAACTCATGATGACACATGAGAGCTGGCAAATATTCTACAGCATCACCAGTGCTGTAAGATTAGCAACATTGAAAGAAGCAGACAGCATTAATCACTATCACTGTCAATGCAGCATCTCTCTATTTGATGAAAACTGGGAAGAGCTGTTCTTCTTTTCAAAGTGTACCTGCAACCTTTAGCTGGCCAGCCCTGGAATTCAGCCTGGGTGCCAAATTGGAAGCCTCCCACCTCCAGCCCCTCCTTTGGCAGATTTTTACATGTTGCTCTGTGAGAAGTCCAATACCTAAACTGCCTTCACACCTTGGTGCTTCCAGAGCCCAGGACAGGGGAAACTGGACTTCTGTATTTCTACACTCTTCTCTGATGTGGGCCTCCCCCGCTACTTCCACTGCGGAGATGCTCCACAGGTGTAAGCTCCTGCTGAGACTAATTCACAGGATCCCCACTCCTTCCACAGGATCAATCATTTACTAAGTAACCTGCACTGCAAGTGCATGAAAGAAACACTGTCCCCAGTCATGGTATAACCAAAGATGTTTATTAAAAATGAAAATAGCTTTTATAGTATTTTCACCATCAAGTTAGAATAGCATGAGCCTGGATAGCCAATAGTATAATTAGTAAGCTTGCTAACCAATAATATTTGTGATCAGTTCCCTAATAAGCAACATCAGATTTTTCTCTCATAGATAAATGCTTATATAATAGTTCTTTCTACAAACTACTGTGCACCTGCTACTTGTTACATTTTTAAAATTTTTTTACATCTTTCCTGCCTTGACTGAATATTCTTTTCTTTCTAACTATATGCTCTTTGTTCTCTCAGTTACAAGTTCCCTTTGTTTTCTTTCTCTACACTGCACATGTAGCTTTTTTTTTAAGAGAAAATTAATTGAATGTTTCTTCTCATCATCAAATTTAGTTTCCAACCTTGTTTAGCTGCTTATCAAATACATAATTATTTGAATATACCAAACATACTTTGCACCAACCTCATGAAGTTTAACAAAGACAAATTTGTCAGCCTACGCAAGGGATGAGTCCTGGTCGATGGCAAGCTGAACATGAGGCAGCAGTGCCCTGGCACCCAGGAGGGCCAACCCTGTCCTGGGGGGCATCAGGCACAGCATGGCCAGCTGGGCAAGGGAGGGGATTGTCCCACTCTGCTCTGAGCTGGGGCAGCCTCACCTCCAGTGCTGGGGGCAGTTCTGGGTGCCACAATATAAGACAGACATTGAGCTATTAGAGAGTGTTCAAAAGAGGACAACGAAGATGGTGAAGATCCTTGAGTATGAGGTGTCTGAGGAGTGGCTGAGGGCATTTGGTCTGTTCAGCCTGGAGGAGGCTGAGGGGAAACCACACTGCAGTCTACAGGTTCCTCATGAGGGGAAGGGGAGGGGCAGGCACTGATCACTTCTCTGTGATGCCCAGTGACAGGATCTGAGGGAATGATTTGAAGGTGTCTGAGAAGGTCTAGGCTGGATATTGGAAAATGGTTTTTCACCCAGGGGGTGGTTGGGCACTGAACAGGCTCCCCAGGGAAGTACTCACAGCACCAGCCTGACAGAGTTCAAGAAATCACTCTCAGGATTCTTGAAGTGTCAAGAGCAGGAGAGGAGTTTGACTTCGATGATCTTTGTGGATCCTTCCAACTCCGGATATTCTATGATTCTATGTTTCTGTTACTTGCTATCAGTATCTGTACTAGATATTTATGTATTTATACATATTGGAAGGGAAAACTTCCTCTTTAGTGTAGTGCTCAGAAATGTTCCCCATTCTCAGCATTCACCTCAAGGATTTTATTTCTTTTGGGCAGGGAGCATCCCGACAGGCTCCTGCCACCAGTTACCGCATCTCCCCCTTCCAAGCCCCAGCAGCCCTGGGAGCAGCCGCTAAAAGCTCGCTTTGGGCTCCCTCTGGTGTCCTGCAGAAAGCCTCTCCGGCGCAACCCCGGCCTCAGCAGCCACAGCAGCACTGCTGTACCGTGGGATGCCCAGACACTGCTCCTCACTTGGCTGTCGGTAACGAAGTAGGCGTGAAGCCTCTGCACAGCACAGGGTAACACATCACATTCTGGAGGCTCCGATTCTGCGAAAAGTTAAGTGTTCGATGCCGTGTGAAAATCCACATGCTCACTGTGATGCTCTGCCCTGGATGATGGCAAGAGCTGTCACAGGCTGTGGGGGACTGGTTGGCCTGCAGCCCTTGCCCGGCCTGCACTGGCCCTGCCTCGAGTGCAGCCCCTCAAAGCTGTCATGCCATGAGAAGGGCATTGAGAGGCATCAAACCACAGCAGCAGAAAAGTTTACAAAAACTGCGAGGCTGGGACTTGGAAGCAGATGGTAGGGCTGGCTGGGGTTTGATGGGCTGGGGGCAGTGTGGTCCCACACAGAACTACAAAATCAATTGGGTTGGAAAAGACTCCAGCAAGCATCGAGCCCAACCTATGTCTGAACACCCCCATATCAATTAGGCAATGGCATTAAGGTGCCATGTCCAGTCTTTCCTTGAACACTTCCAGGGATGGTCAATCTACCAACTCCCTGGGCAGTCTGTTCCAATGTGTATTTTCTCCTTCTGTGAAGAAATTCTTTAATGTCCAACATAAACCTCCCAGCTTTAGACTATCTCTTTTTGTCCTGTCACTATTTACTTGGGACAAGAGGCTGACCCACCTGGCTCCACCCTCCTGTCAGGCAGTTTAGTATAGTGATGTCTGCCCTGAGCATCTCCTCTTCTGGCTAAATAACCCCAGGTGCACTCGACTGCACCTTGTAGACCTTGTGTTCCAGACCCATCACCACCTCTGTTACCTTCTCCAGCACCCCAGTGTCTTTCCTGAGTTAAGGGGCCCAGAACTGGACACAATACTGGAGGTGTGGCCTCACTAGTGCTGAACTCACTGCCCTGCTCCTGCCGTTCACACTATTGCTGGTGCAGGACAGGATGCCATTGGCGTTCTTGCCCACCTGGGCCACGGCCTCCTGGCTCATGTTCAGCCGCTATCGACCAGCACCCCCAGGTCCTTTTCTGCGGGGCAGCTTTCCAGACACTCTGCCCCCAGCCTGTAGCGCTGTGGTTGCTGTGACCCGAGTGCAGGACCTGGCATTTGGCCTTGTTGAACCTCATGCTGTTGGGTCTCGGCCCATCGTTACAGCGAGTGCAGATCCCCCTGCAAGGCCTTCCCACCCTGCAGCAGATCGACACTCTGACCCAAGCGGGTATCGCCCACCGGCGCGCCCAGGGGGGATGGGGAAGGCCGCGGCCTGTGCGGGCGGTGCGGGGGCGGCGCGGGGCCGTTGCCATGGCAGCGGGGGGGTTCGCCCGGCCCGGCCCGGCCCAGGTGCAGCCGAGCGGCGCCTCCGGGACATTTATCCGTGGCCCGGCGGAGCTGAGGCGCGTTCGTGCTCCGTGCCTCGGCCTCGGCTTGCCGGGTGAGAGGGACTGGCGGCGCGGTGCGGCCGGGAGGGCCGGGATACAACCCTCAGGAAGTTTAACCCAACTTTCCGCTGAGTCCGCGGGGCGCCGGGGGCGGTGTCCAGGCTCGACTTTGAGCCCGGCGGCCGAGGTGAGGCGGGGGGAGGGCTCCGGGGGGTCTGCGCTAGCGGATGCAGCGGGAGCCAGTGCGGGCCTCCCGTCCGGGAAGCTGCTGTGTGCCGGGAGGCAGCTCACGGACCTGCTCCCTGCGGTTCAGTCCGCGCCCGCAGCTCTCCCAGAGGTGCCAGCTGGGGCTCCTCTGTGTTTCAGAGCTTGAAGCAGGGCGAAATACTTCATCGTGAGGTAAAGATGCTGTTATCGCTGTGGCATGGTTGGTGTAGTCAAAAGCCCTTTAATCGGAGTGCTGAGTGCCTTGACGTTCACCGGTGTTATAGTTAAAAGATTGAACTTTGTCAACCGTAGGGTAGAAATAGTTGAAAATTAAGCAGAAGCCTGGTTGTTGGGACCGTGAGGGTGAGGCTACTATAGGATGCTGCTATTCGCTGTTTCTCGTACTGTCTCACTTTAATTTGGTGCGCTTCTCTTCAGACCAGCAGGGCAACAACAGGCAAAATGACAGCTGTGAGGTATGAACAAGGGACCCAGCCAAGAGAATCATCTGGGTGAGTGTAATGAATCGTGAGGGGTTTGGGATTGAGTATGGGGTGTGTGGTCCCCTGTCTTTAGGTTTTTAGTGCTTCAAATACAAAAAAGGGAATAATGATGGCATGTCTGAACTTCATATAGCATACAGTCTTTTTATCTCCCGTCTCCCACCAGTGCTGCTGTCTGAGAGGAGGGATGTCTTTGAGAGAAATATGCTGTTTTGATTCACTTCTTGTAAGTAGTTAGTAAGTGATTAATGAGTACAAGGTCTCTATGCCTGGTATAATAAGCCCATGGCATTAATGTTTGCTCTCTTTTAGCATCCAGACTGTCAAGAGACTTACAAGAGAGTGTCAAGGTCTCTTGTAGAGCAAGATGTTCTTTTTCTGCTTGCTTTAAAAGCCTCAACTCTGAACCTCCCTTCAGCTATGAGCAGTCAGAAAAGCTTACGCTTTGTATGCAGTGTATGCATGAAGGAAACAAATTCTTCTAATATGTCTTCCTTTTATTCTCTTCTACTCCCATAGTCAAAGCCCAATTGTAGTAGCTTGGGGCTGGGAGCTTGTTCTGTCTTGGACAACAAGTAGATGTAGAATGGTCAGCAAAACAAACTCCCTCTGAGGAAAGCATTATCTAGAACTCTGAGGAAAGCATTATCTAGAACTAAATTTTTGTGTGGGAGCACTATGGAAACAGTGTACTTGGACTTAACTTTTGTTTTATCTTTGTATTAAAGATTGTCTTCCTAACTGAAAACACTTCTGTTTCTCATTCTTCTTGTGGCATATTTTAATCACAGTAGAGGATAAGAAGGTGCTGTTTGGTGCACTTCATGTGTCTGCAAGTATAAGCAAGTGACCTGCAGCAAAATTGCTGCAGCAGTAGCAGGCTTTAATAAGTGAAGCATTTCTGCTGTTCAGTAAGTATAAACACCCAAGTGAATATTCTGTAAGAGTAGCTGGGCAGCAAACCTGAATGCCTATCCATCACTAGAGCTTTGCTTTGCTCTGCTCTAGGAACAGAATGAGGACACTGGTTTCACTGGAAACACTGGAGCTGGGAAATGAGGCTTGAATGTTAAGATTGTTGCATCAGAATAATTCTTCTAGTGAGCCTGATACTGAGTACAGGTGGTAAAGCATCAGTACTGGTTGCTGAAACTGTAGGAGAAACATCATGAAACTTCTTGCTTAAAAGGTGGTTAGCCTAGACTGCAGAAACAGTGCTGGTGCATATGTCTGTTGTGGAGGATGAAGAATATTTGAATCCTCAGCATTATTACGCTAATGCTTCAAACAGGCTAGGCTGCCTCTGAACAGTATGGAAACATCAATACTGGATATGTGTATTTAGCTATTCCTGCCCACAAAGCAGTGAAACCAGAGGCAGAGCCTCAGCAAATACTGTGACTGTGCTGTTGTGCATCGCAGTATTTCTGTGGAGACAACTGAAATAAAGACTCCTGGATTTTTATGCTACACTTTTTCTCTGAAATTGTCTTGTGGCCTTCAAAAAAACAAAAACTTGATCTGAAGAGACCTTTTTAAGGAAGTTACGGCAAGCAGCCACTACCCCAAAAAACTGCTGTTCTAGCACTAGCTCAGCTACTGCTCTGGTCTTCCAGTTTCCGGTCTGGTATCCTGCTCTGCACAAAAACGTGTCTGTGCTATGTCTTTTCCTGGTGAAAACCTTAATTCTCTGTACAAGGTTACTGTAAAAGTATTAATGTCACTTGGACTCTCTGAAGCCATTTTGCATAAGCATATTTCTAGTGCTTCTAGAGCCTGGACTGTTGAGTCCTTAGCAGACTTGTGGATGCCCTGCTTCAAAGCCCTTCATCCTATTGCTGAACACTTCTCTCTCTTTAGGGGTGGGGGGGAAAGGGAAAACTTTTGAGAACGGGGCTGCTAATGGGAAATAGATCAGCACAAGCCAAGGGGTACAGCTATGCCAGCATAGGGGAAGTCTTTCTTCCCCTGGTATTGGGCCTTGCTCTGGCTCAGGCTGCTGCTCACTTGACAGTTAATTCTTTTTTTTTTTTTTTTTGGAACAACAAGCATAGCAATAACCAGAATTGACATCTCTATCAGTGTGTGACTTGTATTATTTCTTTGCCAGCTATCCAACAGCTGAAGAGGCCACAGTAAAGATTGATAATGGTCGTGATGAGCGTAATGGACCAGACAGCTTTTCCAAGTAAGCTAGTGATACAATAAATTTCTTTGTTTACCCCCAGAAGGGTAATCTGATGAGCCAAAATAAGAAGGCAGGTGGCTTGTTGAAGTAGAGATAAGCCCAGTAAAATGCTTGATATTGACATTTCTTCTCAGACATAGTGAAGACAAGTTGAGGAATCCTCTTTGTCCCTCTAGAGATAAAAGCCCAACCCAAGAACACAAGTCCATCATATTATGGAGAATGAGTAATCCAAACCACATTGGGAAAATTTAATCAAAGGAATGAATTTGTGAGAGCACAGAAGAACAAGTGGTGGTGAGAGAATGAGGTGAATGAGTATCTGGGCAAAACAATAAGCATTGTGGAACTCATCAAGACTAAATTGTCTGAACTTTCTAGTAGTTAACTCTATTCTTGAAGCAGTTATTTCCTGACAGTGTTTACTTTACAGTTACTCTTCCACTGACTTGACTAAGTTTGCTGTCAAGTCTTGCAGCTCAAGAACAGTAAACCTAAATCTGTTATTTCAGTTATTCTATGTGACAACATGTTTTTCTAGATTTCAGAAGTCAGAATTTACAAATATATATCACAAAAGCTCTAAGCTAATTATGTAATCAAATGTGCTGTGTTTCCTTCAACTGATTTAAGATGTTGTCAGGCCAAGTTGGGATGGTGTGTGTATATTTCGGTCTGTAGTGTACTTAGTTAGCGGTACTTGTCCATAGACTGTGAAAGCTGAAGTCTTGGTGTCCCCACTATCATAATAGTATTGACTGGGCAGACACAGACCAGCAAACCATTAGTGTTACAATTGCAGTGTTTCCTTAAATATTTGGCATTCATAAATACTGGGAAAACTTTCTATATGTTAAGCTGCCTTCAGGACACGATATGGTATTACATCCTTGACTTCTATAGGAAAAGTGAATACTACAACCCTCATATATCCTTCCAGCTTAAGAGGGGAAATGTTTTCTGGTTAGACCTTGTACCTTAGTTTAGAGTAAGAACCTAATAATGAAAAGTGTGGGTTAAAACAGTTACCCAAGCAAGATGCTGCCTCAGCACTTCAAAGGTATCTAGCCTTGTCTTAAACTGGATTATTGAAGTGCACCAAGTGAAATGCAATGCTCAAGTTGTCATAGAGGAAGCAAGTATTTTGGACAGGATCACTGGCATGAATGTGCATTACTCAGCTGACAAAAATTTCTTGTAACAGTGCAAAATAAATCTATCGATACTTTTTGTCAATATGTTAGGACAAATGATAAGTCCTGCTGTTAGTGATATGCTTGAAAAAAGGTGTTTTCTTCTAAGTGTCTAAGAAAAGAATTGATGCTTACAGTAGTAAGTAATCATGGGATTACTTAACAGACTGGCAGTCTGTTTTTCAAACTGTCAGCACTTGACGTTTGCAGGTTCTACACCAAAAATTTCTATCTTAGTTCTTGGTGTAATGTAAAGAGACTTCCAGCCAGAAAGAGAGTTACATAAAAGCTTTGTTCTAAACCAGAGGGCTTAAAGCATACTAAAGAGGCAACAAAATCTACTGTCATTGGAAACAAGAGCTGTGACCCTTCTAGGACTGAAGATAATTCTCACAACTGGAAGAACTTGACGTCAGAAATACTTTTTCTTGAAAGATATTTGGGGTTTCAATCTGAAAGCCAAACTGATGTTTCCTTTTTAAAGTAGAAGTGGGATTTATACCCCTCTATTCCAAAGGCACAGGAGCTGTGAACAAGTGCAGCTCTTTTCAAGACTGGGAAAAAAAAAATGGTTAAGATACAATAAGCCAATATATGGAACAAAATATATTAAGAGATGTTTATCTTCCAATCTTCCTCTTGACCAATAGCTGTTATATAAACTCACTTCTTATAGCTTACTAAGCCAGAGTTCAAGTGTCACTGGAATTGTGACATGGAATAATGTTATGGATAAGTATATACTACTGTATTTCTACAGTAGTATTTCTAGGGTCTGGAAGCTGAGTAATATTTTTTCTAACAAGTGATCAAAGCACAGTTTTCAAGTACTCTCTTAACCTATATATACTTCATAAATGCAACTGAGTAATCTCATCTTAGAGAAATCACTACTATGCAGAATACTAACACCAAAGGAATGTGAACAAAAGAATATAACAGTGCCCTTGTGGTGAGTATCTGTAGGAAAACGTCACTTGTCTTGATGTCAGTTCTTTTCTCTTGCAGTGCAACTAGGAGAAAAGTTACCCCATTTGTGATGTCATTTGGATTCAGGTAAAAGCTTGAGCTTGTAATGATGCGGGGAAGGTAAAAATAGTCCTCATTTCTGGTGTAAGCACTTGGAGAGTTCCTTAAGCATCAGTAACTCCAGGTTGATTTGTCTGAACGTACTGATTCCCTTGTCACCCACAGGAAAGGAAACTTGAGAAAAGTACTAGAAATTACAAATAAGACTTAAACAGGTATGACTACATTTTCAAAGAAGAGATGCAAGTTGGAATTGCAAATGTCATTGACTCAGATAAAACCTCTGTAATGGCTTATTCTTGACTGCCAGCCTTTGAACAAACAGTTGGTCAGTTGTGTGTGCTCTAGGTGCTGGAACAAGGCAAGCCATTAAAAACAGTTATTCTTAAGGGACTGTATTAAGTCATGAGAGGGAGGGAAGCTGAGTAAGGTGAAAGCAGCAATGATACTTGCATGCCTTAAAGCATTCAGGTTTGCACTGCTTCTAGGTAGCTGTGAAGTCATAAATTAAAAACTGCAGCTGTGTTTGAGATAAATATGTGGTTCCACATGGATTATGGTCTCTGTGCCTATTACTTAAATATGCAATTGGAAACCTTCAGCTTCTAATTAAGCTGGCTTCAGTTGATGTAAGAGAACACACTCTGGCTGGAACAGTTTAGAAATCAGGGTTTGTGCTGTTCAGTTGATAAGTGTTCATTCCTGCCTCTCAAACTTGTATTTTTCTCTTTGCAGAGTCTTTGGAGTTGTACTTATCTTTGTGGACATTATAATTGTGATTCTGGATCTGGCTGTCAGTGAGACAAAGAAGGGTACAGAGATTCCTGAGTTTGTTTCCCTGGCAATAGCACTCTTCTTTCTCATCGATGTTCTCCTGAGGGTGTTTGTTGAAGGGTAAGACATGGGCAAAAATTAAGTCCACATGGCAAGTCCTCAAGCTAGGAAGGAACAAGCTTGAACTATGAACATGGTGTCCCGTAGGCTAATTTTCTGGTTGTAGATAATAGCCACGTCTTTTCTTGGCTGTGTATGGTGGTGGTTACCCTTCTGTAGAACAACCTATAAGTATTTTCAGTATAAGTGAGCACTCAGAAACTACATCAGCTTTGCATTAACTAGTGCATAAATCAGGGGTAAGATTGCTTTATTAGTGAGACTTCAGTGCTTAGTGTTAAGAACAGCTGTAGGACAGCTTGTCTCCAGCAGTAGCTCTGTACAGATGGTTCTCTTCTTGAAGATATATTTCAGTCTTTGCTACCTATATTGGCATCTGTCTAAGACTCTGCTTGGTTTCAGCTTCAGGAACTATTTCCAGTCCAGACTGAATATTTTGGATGCATGTATAGTGGTGGGCACCCTGTTAATAAATTTGACGTACGCCTTCTTAGACCTTAATGTAGCAGAGGAGATACCAAGGTAAGAGTGGTATAGCAGCTGGTGAGTGTGAGCTCTTTTCTTGATAATCTTCTGAGAATTTTCTTGGGCACTTCTAAGCCAGATGTGTGCATATGAGATCACAAATGGGACTGTGATAGTGTGTCATGGTACAGACCAGTGAAGGACAGACACACGGCTTTGGTCTGTGGTTATGCTGTAGGCTGCCCCTGCCTCAAAGGCAGAGGGGATCTGAACATGCTAGTTGGGGTAACTAAAAGTGAGGCCATCAAATGCTCTGGCTCAGGCACTTTTTTGGGGAAAGGTGAAAGCCATAGTAGAGAGGAGGGTCTGAAGAAGGTCAGAAAGAAGAGTTATCATAGTAAATGTAACAGACAGCAAAGGGAGGATCTTGTCTAAAGGATCTTGCAATAGAAAGAGTTGCCAAACTGTCTTGTTTCCTTCACTTTGCTTTCCCAAACATCTCATGGTAATACATGGTGGGTTTTTCAGCCATGCTTTTGGGGAGAGGAAACATGCTATTTATGTGCTTAAGCTGCTTCATGTCCTATTTCCTTCTGATTTCTGTATCCTGATTAGATGATAACCTATGAGGTGCTAAAGAACCAACACAAATATTCACCAGCATTTTTACACAAATGTATCAAAACCTAGAATGTGTGTGTGATGCTTAAAATACATGCTCACTTAGCTCCTTAAAGAATGAATTCAATATTAGTTTGCCCTTGTCCCTAGGACTTGGAAAGCGGCTGCTGTTGTTCAGTTGTTTTGATAGAAACTCTCACCTAAGCTTCTTTCCTGCTTCAAAGTTCAACAATAGTTCAAAGTTCCGCAAACTAAATCAAGTGTTCAGGTTGCTGAATGATTAAACACAGGATATATACTGATCTGTTCTCAGGTTTCTTAAGTCATGATGTAGTTATCCTGGCTAGCTTCTTTTTAGTTATTTTTCAGGTGGCTACATACACTAAAATGTATAATAATGAGAATAAGCTTCAAGGAAACAAAAACTTAGTGATAATAACATGGGTAATGTTAATGGAATTTGTTGCTTTCTAGCCAGACATGCCTGTGGAAGTCTGTTTCAGTGAGTAGGGGATTTCCTAGTTCTGTTAGCTGTTGAGAACATATACTCACAAAAAATCCTTAACAATAAACCCATGATACTGTATTTGTTCCAAAATCAGCCTGAAATATTCTAGTTCAACATATGAAACAAAGTTTTAAACTTTCCCTGAAACAGCTTTTAAACAGCTTTAATCTTTGCCTGTAAGTTTATTTGTGTTGATTTTCTTTCATGGTGAATCTGTCATCTAGAATGGTTATTTTCCTCCGAATTCTGAGAATTGTCATCTTGGTAAGAGTATTTCTCCTGGCTTCACAAAAGCAGCATCTGGAAACGGTGACCAGGAGAATGGTAAGTTGGCCTCTTAACATATCTGGACTATGACTACTGTTTCCAACTCTTTCTTCAGGCAGCATCAGTGGTAAGTAGCAAGACCGATCGTGGCCTATTGGTCTGCAATTGATAGTTGCCCAAGCAGCACATCTGTTCAATGTCCCTGACAGGGCTCTGGAGCTTTGCCTCCAGCTTCAGGAAAGCCTTGTCAATCTCAGCTTTGCTCAAGTAAGCATCAACTTGACCTGGAAGGCCAGTACGTCAAAGTGATTGCAACACCCTGAGTGTCTCAACTGACAATTTCTAGCTTGTGTGGTACTTAGACTGTTTTCCCTCACATGGGGGGAAAGTAGGAGTTTTAATGTGTGTGATGCTTTATCTTGGGTGCAAGCAAAGCAGTCTAGCTGTTGAAGCCCTATCCACTGTCAATGCCTCTTATTTTCATCCAAGGCATTAAAGTGGTACTTTAAGCTTCATGTATGTCCTATTGTTTAGGATTAAGCATTCTTGGTTATAGTACCCTTAACTTTATACTTTTTTCCCTCAGTCACCAAACACTCAAATAACAATGACAGATTCATGCTGCAGTATTCACAGAATCTGCAGTGTTCTTTTCACTAGAATAAATTTTGATATTTAAGATTTTAATTCTCTACAGAGCTTTTGCCTAGAAAAGAATTTGCTCTTGGATAATGCTGTAGTGAAATGAGGCTCTGCTACTCAAGCTTAACTGGAGAGTCTGGATAGTTGAACTTTCCTAGTAACAGGAAACGCTTGATAATTGTTGGCATTGTTGTGGAAGGTTAACTCCTACTTTTTTTTTTTTTTTTGGTCAGGTCTCTGAAAACAAAAGACGTTATATGAAAGACGGCTTTGATCTGGATCTCACTTATATTACTGGTTTGTGGAAACAAATGTCGCTTTGCAGCATGTTATGTCCTGTGAAGACTTGTTTTTCAGTTAATAAGAGCTTGCAATGAAATACAGACAATGTTTAGACTCATGAAATTTAAGTATGAAGTCAAACTAGGCCTACTCCTTTTCTGTGGGATTTTGAATTATGGATTCCTGACTGACACTATTCTCCAGAATTAGCCTTCTGGGAGAGTTGTACATGCTGTATGTAATGATAGAAATTTATCTGAGGCCTAGGGAACCAGTGTTGGGAAACTATTTACTTACAGTATTTTTGCTTCTGATTCTTTGGAGACTGACACTTGATGGTGGCTGATGCTTTGGGAAGCATTTGTCTTGCTCTAGCTATGCTAAATGTAGAGGAAAGTGTACCAGAAATGGATAGATTGTTCTTACAATTAGGGTAAGAATAAGGCATTTCATAAGGATGTTTCTCAGTTTTCTAGTTCTTATGTGCAGGAGGGCTTCCTGCTGTTACTTGTGATTGCTGTCTTCTCAACAGATCGAATTATTGCAATGTCATTTCCATCTTCTGGGAAGCAGTCTTTCTACAGGAATCCCATAAAGGTAAAAATCTTACCAACCAAATTCACTGTTTCTGAGACCTGTTTCTTTTCTAAGTTCCTGCTAATTTACATGTGGCCTAAATAATGTCAGCCTTAGTTCTGCTGCCTTTGCTGGTTGGAATGACTGACTGATGATCTCCACTGTGCTGCACTGCTTATGTTGTAGTGTCTCCGCTAAGCCTAATGGTTTATATCTCACAGTGTGGACACACCAGTGCTTTGATGCTCCTGTTCTTTGGGAAATGTTTTGAAGAATCAAGGCAGTTCTGTCCCAGGCTAGTAATGGTGATAATATCTATTCACCTAAATAAAGTTGCTTTAAAGGTCTGTATACATAATGTCCTTTTCAGAGCTCTGCTTTCTGATACTGTAGAAACATATATAGGGCCAGGAGGACAGCTGCAGTAGTACTTCTATTCCAGACAGGAGCCTGAGCTGTCAGGCTGGAAAGGCCTGCTTTCCAAGGGCTGTTCATGAATGCAGTTGTTGATCTGTATGGGGTGAGGGTTGAGGTGGCAGTGGAAATAGCAAGTTGAGCACTAACTACTCTGAACTTGTTATTGCTTAGGAAGTTGCAAGATTTTTGGACACCAAACATCCAAACCACTATAAAGTCTACAATCTCTGCAGTAAGTGTTTTTAGCTGCTGTCTATATTTGAGATAAAATTTAATGTGTAAGTGAAAAGTATGAAACCAGAAGCTAAGCACTCATGGCTTTAGCTGTGTTACCTCAGTATTTTTTCACTTTAATCTGTCTATTAACACTGCTGTATTTTAGACACTAGCACATGGTCAGACCAGCCACTGTGTGTTATAAACCACTTTCTTTGTTACAATCCTTCTCCCTTCCTGGCATAACTTCAGATCTTTTCCTATAGGTGAGAAAGGCTATGACCCCAAGTACTTTCACTACAGGGTGGAAAGGATCTTCATTGATGACCATAACGTCCCAACACTGCAGTGAGTCTTGTCAGAACTATTATAATGTATGTATTTCTTATCTAGGCATTTGCCTTGATCCAATAACTTTCTTCTTATTTAGGGACATGCTGAAATTCACTGCCAGTGTCCGTGAATGGATGAGTCAAGACGAGAAGAACATCATAGTAATTCACTGTAAAGGAGGAAAAGGTAGGATTTCTCATGTGCAATCTCTGTATGCTACAAACCACACTTCTTTGTTATTGTAGCTTCTTTATTAAAGTGTAGCCTTAAACCATACTATGAGGTGGGTTTACAGTGTAACTTGACAAATACTGCAGACACTGTGATGACTAGCACAGGTATACTATTATAATACTATAGTGTTTTACCCCATTTTTAGGTAGTCTAAATTGGTTCTTAGTCTAAGCTGGCATTATGTCTCTTAAAACGTTCTTCAGTAACTTTGTGGTGTTCTGGCAGCTGTGATAGCAGTCCCCCAGGAGACTGGGGATAGGGGGGCTACTGGAACTGCTACTATTAAGTGTTGGGCTGCTGCTTTTGCTTCTGGTAGCCAGTCACCCATGCTGAATATTTTACATTGTAGTATAGCTCAAACTATCCATTGTGTAGGTTGGAAAAAGACCATTAAGATCAAGTCCGATCATTAATTCACCACTAAACTGTGTCTCTCAGTTCCACACCTTCACATCTGGAAAACCTCCAGGGATGATGATTTAGCCACTTTTCCAGGGCAGCTTGTTTCAGTGCTTGATAACCCTGTTGGAGAAGAAATTTTTCTTAATATACAATCTAAATCTTCCCTGGGAAAACCTGAGGCCGCTTCCTCTCTTCCTATTGCTTGTTACTTGATGGAAACTACCAACCCCACCTCACTATGGTCCTTACAGCAAAAAGGTCTCCTCTGAGCCTCCTTTTCTCTAGGCTAAACACTCTCAGCTCTCTCAGCTGCTCCTTGAAAACTTGTGCTCCAGACCCTTCCCCAGCTCTGTTGCCATTTTCTGGACACACTCTAGCGTGTCAATATCTTTCTTGCAGTGAGGGGCCCAAAGCTTAATGCAGGAGTCAAGGTGCAGCCTCTCCAGTGACAAGCAGAGAGGGGCAATCACTGCCTTGGTCCTGCTGGCCAGAATACTGCTGATACAGGCCAGGATGTCATTGGCCTTCCTGGGCACACTCTGAGTCGTATTCAGCTGTTGTTAACCAACATCCTCAAGTCTTTTTCCAGTGGGCTGCTTTTCAGCCAATTTTCCCTGAGCCTGTAACACTCTGTGGAGTTGTTGTGACCCAAGTGCAGGTCCCATGCCTTCACTTTATTGAACCACATACAGTTGGCCTTGGCCCATTGATCCAGCCTGTCCATATCCCTCTGTAGAGCCTTCCAGCCCTTTAGCAGGTCAACACTCCCACACACCCAACTTGGTGTCCTCTTCAAACTGACTGAGGATGCACTCAACCCCCTTGTCCAGATTGTTGGTAAAGATACTAAACAGAACTGGCCTCACTAGTGTGCCCTGGGATCACCACTAGTGACCAGCTGCCAACTGGATGTAACCATGTTCACCACAATTCTCTGGGCCTGGCCATCCAGACAGGTTTTACCCAGTGAAGAGTGCCCTGGTTGTGCTTTGTTTGTTGTGTGATACCACCCAAGATGATCTGCTCCATAACTTTACCCCTCTAGAATGTTCCAGGTACTGCTGGATCTTTAATCGAGTTACATATGATATTAGGTGATAAGAGTACAATGAAGTCTTGTGGAAGCAAGAACAGCGAAAGCTATCAAACATGTGAGCTAACCTGCAGGTACTATCTGAACCAACAGTGGTGTGGGACCTGTTGAAATGCTTAAATAACTGCAAGTAAGCCAAATCTCCCTGCAAATATCTGCCACATCTTTAGCTGTCTGCTGTTACTACTCCAAATACTTGGCTTAAAGTAGGTGGTTACTTAACATTAAATAGTTGCCCCCAGGTGGAGCTCTGTCTTAAAAGGTTTTGCAAAACTGAATGTTGCAACGACCTGCAGGTCAAAATCAGCTTGAAGAACAAGTGTGAGGAGGGTGACTTGACCTGAGATTTTAAATTAAAAACTGAAACTATATAGGCATCTTTATGCTAGCAGACTTGATGGCTTTGTAGTAGGGTTGCAGGGAAAACAGCTGGGCAGAGAAACAACTCTTGGCACTTACAGCATTGAGAAGTTTCAGTTTATATCCTGATTTAGTAGAGTGCTTGACTCTGTTTCCTGCTGAATGGAGTATCCAGATACTGATCAGCTGCCTTAGTGTCTCTAGGAATGAAAATGTGGGGACAAGGAACAAATTGACAAACTGTAGTACCTTGTCTATAACTCATTCTTTTCAGAAATACTTGGCTACTTGACTATCACTTCTAATTCTTGAAATAGGTGAGATAACAGGAGATGACTTCACCTTCACAAAAATAATCCCAAACACCTTTGAACTGATGTAATTCAAATTGAATTGTATGTCTGATGCAGGCAGAACTGGGACAATGGTCTGTACCTGGCTCATAGACAGTGACCAGTTTGAGAGCGCAAAGGTAAAAACTGTTGTTTATTTTTTTATTTGTTTAGTATTCAAAATGTGCTTTTAGGATTTACTGAATTGGTGAAATGCACTAATACTCTGCAAAAATTCTATACTAGAAAAAGGATTCTCTGAAAAGTCTGGTTTTACAAAAGTTCATGCAAGTCTTGCTACAGTGTAAATTCTGAAGGAGATTTTTCATGACCTGAAAGGATGGAGAAAATAGCATTTAACAAGTCACCAACTTGAAGGATTCTTTTTGGAGGAATAACTTGTTTTGGGTCTTGAGCAACAACTTAAGCTGTAGGTGACTTCTGAGCAAACTCTCCTAAAGATAGTATCACTGGTTTTAAGCAGTTTTTTTCCCAGTCTCCCTCCAAGTAATGTGAGGCATCAAGAATTGTCTTGACAGCCAACATTACAAAAGGAAGCCCTTCTAGGGAAAGGGAGAAAGATCAAGTCCCAGCCAGGACAGGTGCTGATGCTGCTTTTGTATCCCAGGTCTGATATATCAGCTGGAGACTGGGGATGCAGAAGGCCCAAGACACTCTTGGGAAGACTGTATATCCATTTAATCACTTGTTTTCCTCTGAGTTTGCTTGTGAAGATTTGATCTAGTGTTTAGCTTGGTCTGTTACAGACCACTTGAGAGATAGAGGTGGTTCTAAAGCAATTGCTTTAAAGTCATATTGATTTCCTTCACTTTCATGAATGACAGATTTGTCTGACTTCCTAATTAGTACTTCCTTCTTGTAGTTAAAAGTCTCCTTTAGAAGGTACTAAAAGAACTGTTGCATATTTCCACTTGCAATCCTTTACTGGACTTGAGTATTATAGTTCTGGTTTACTATCCATTTCTCAAGAAGGAGAATGGTGGTGGGGTGGATATCTTAACCCTTGAAATTATCATCCTGTGTAGGAAAGTTTGGACTACTTTGGGGAGAGAAGAACTGATAGAAGCACGAGTACCAAGTTTCAAGGAGTTGAAACTCCCTCACAGGTAAGCTTGAGCAGGTTCAGGAGCAGTAGTCAAACCAATGCTAACCTTGTGGGTGCTTATGCTACCCCACCTCCCCTGCCTTGTTTCAGAGATGTAGGTTCTTATTACTTGCTTAACTCCTGAACTTTCTGTACTCTTTCTGTGAGAGTTGGAAGACAAACAGCTGACAGGGTTACCCTGCATCTTTCCCCTTTCCATTATACCGTCCTCCGCATAATGATGTCAAATCTGAAGTATAATATCTAGGATAACAACAGAATTCTTGGGATTGGGAAAGCTTTCAGTCCAGCCCCACTGTTCAAGCAGGATGACTTGGACAGATGTGTCTGGTCAGGTCTAGAATATCTGCACAGATGCAGATTCCACAGCATGTTTGGGCACCCTCACAGGAGCATGGCACTGTAAGGCAATTGGCCTGTTCAACAAGGATGCATAGAAGCCTGCAGCCTAGCCTGGGATGGACCATGGTGCTGATTTGGCTTGGGTGGAGAAATGCATCTTCTGCAGACTGCATTCACTGGGAAATAATACACAAGTTTTTGCCTCAAAACAGTTTTGCACATCTTGATTTACTGTTCTGTGTGATGCAGAGTTGGGAAGTAAATCTGCTGACGGGTACTTATAATTGCTGATATAAAATAGAAGTATACCTACCCTTCAGTAAAATGAAAATATCTTGTATGTTCAAACATTCAGTCTCCTAAGGCTACAATATAAAAGCTCCTCACTTCTTGCTGAGCTAAAAGGTACAGAATTCCTCATAAAACATGAAATTTAAATACTGATTTAAAATGTAGATGTTGAATTTGTCTAGAAGATTGTTCCAGCAGGGAAAGGGAAGGAGAAAAATGGTCTTTCTTCTTAGCTTTGGACTTTGAAAAGCTAAAACCTTGGAGTAAAAGATGTATTTTAATCCTACTTTTGCCTAGAATTAATCTGTTGGGTACAGAAACTGCATAATATTTGGGTTTTTTGCATTGCAGAGTAGGTATGTTGGGTATTATGAGATCCTGAAAAACAAGTATAACTTGAAGCTCCCACCAGAGAGACAACTCAAAATAAAAAACCTCAAAATCCACAATGTACATGGTAAGAACTCTTGTATTTGGGCATTCCTCCATCTGGTGATGGTCTCCTATTAGGCAATAGGCAGGTGATAACTCTCTCTCTTGCGAAGCCTATGATAGGAATGTAGACTTACTGGGATTTGAGAATTTAAATGACAAAGAACAGAATGAAGAGTATTTTGTAGTCAGTTGCTCTGTGTTGTGTCACTTCATAGATGTCTGACCAAATGATGACTCATATACAAACTGCTCTTTTTTGGAAGAGAAATCACTTTTTAAGTGAGACTAACTCCCCAGTGGAACTGGATCCACTAACGTTTCTGAGCTTTAGATACATGCCTGTTACAGTACATGTGTACTGGTAATCTTGATCAAAGGCTGGAAGCTCATCACTCCTTGTTCCAGGGGTGTTCAAACTGCTGTTATTGCTTGGTAAATGGAACTAGATTTTACATTAGCCTGTTCCCCTAGTGGGGGGAACTTCAAAATGCAGTTTTTAGCTGCTGAATCCTGGCTTACCTTTAGCATTGGAGTTCTCTAGAGTCTCGAGCAAGACATTCTGGAAAGAAAGCACTTTTGAATGGGATTGCACCTGATTTTCATGACTACTTGTGTTTCCAGCTAATGTCTGTGCCTCTGGTGTAATGTAACACTTTGTTCCTAGGAATTGGGAAAGGCAATGGAACTGATTTGAAGGTGCAGATAATAATAAGGAAGCAAGTTGTACTACAGTGTGTATGTGCCAATCAAAAAAACTGCAAGGTGAGTGCTATAAAGACACATAAGTTGAGTCACAGAATCTAAAAGCTGATTTATATGTTTGAAGTGTCTTAGTTTTCTGTCCAATATTAAATTTCTACATAGTCTAATGAAATAGATGATTTAAATCCCAAGAGCATGAAAAAGCTAAACTTTGCCAAATCCTAGGAAATGTAGTGGTAAGATAGTGGAAGATTTCCTTGGGAGTCATTTAAATGCAAATAGTTCACTCTGTCAGAGCAGTTTAAACTGTTGTCTGTTATTTTAGCACAGCTGTTGTATTTGTGTACCATGAATGAGTAGTTAGGTGTCATGAATTGGTCCCTTGTCTTGCTGCAGAAACTTTTATAAAACAAATACTTTATTCTGTTACCCAGCTCTTCTTTGATTCTGAAAGTGACTCTGTAGTCATTGGCTTGGAAGACTGCCCTGTCCTAAGCGGTGATGTGAAAGTCAGATTTGAATGCAATTCTGTAAGTACACCAGTGTGAAGACCTTCAGCTGGGTATGGGGAGAGGCTGCAGTGCAAACCGCAGTGGGTCCTGCCCGGCTGGGCAGCATGGGGCAGAATCTGTTCTTCTCCTGCTGACTCCTGCTGTGTCTCAATGTGCAGTGAGGGACACAACAAGTGGTAGATCATCAGCCTAGGCAAGCAGGGGAAGTATCTGACTGTTCAAACAGCAGTACAACCAAGGAATCTTAGTTGGGTACCTGGGGTCTCACCTCGTATTGAGTGACTTGTTACTGAAATAATTGCAGAGAAAATAGTGATCTGTGTATGATACTGGGCTTTTCAAGTGTACTGATTCTGGCACTGTAGCTTTGAAAACCAAATTGGAAAAGTGGGTATCCTTGCTCTATAAACAAAAGTTGTGTTGTGTAACACAGTCCTTAAACAAGGTGTTTGTGTTTAGGCTCTCCCAAAAGGCTATGATGACTGCCCGTTCTTTTTCTGGTTCAACACTTCCTTTATTGAAAATAACAGGTAAGTGATCATAGTGAATGTCTTCAGATCCTAACTTCTGGTGTCTGCATAGAGCTGGAAGATCATAAACAGAGTACTGAAAGCTGAGATAAGGCAGTCCTGATCAGCCAACTAACTTTCATGTGGGTACTGGTCTTGTACAGTAGTTGCAGGCAGTTGCTTGTGCTGTGACAAATATTTTAAACATATGGGAGCTTTTTAACTTAAACAACTGGATTATTTCCTTGGTGCTCTCTAACCATTGTTTATGAATTTGAATTAAAAAATGTAATGCTAACTGTTCAAATCTGCCATCCTCTATAGTATGGCTGCCTGAGGAGTAGCTGAACTCAGTAGCTTAGCAGGCAGACATAAGACCACAGTTAGAGGTACTGATGCTTGAGATCACAAAGAAAGGCCCTCTTATGGCTTCTCATGCTTTTGATAAAGTTAGAAATTGCTGTCATTTTGTTTGCTGAGACTGGAACTCCTAGAGAAGCTCCAGCTGGTGAAAGTTTGGCTTGTCTAACTTGCTTTGGGAGTGATGTAGAAATGCAGAGACTAGAGAGCCTTATCTTTGGTCTGCCTTGCTCGACAGATTTAGGTAGAGGAACAGTGAATTTGGCATATGAGATATAATTATTGTGTTCTCCATGAGTGGACTAGAAAGAAAACAGTTTTTACTTAATGGATCCTGCTAGAGCCTGAGGAGAGGTGTCCATGAGTCTGTTTGTAGCTGTTCACTTAATATGTTGAGCCAGCAATGCACCTTGCAGTCGCTATGCAGACCAATTAAGCCAGTTCCAGGAGAAATGTCTGCCAGCTGTCTGATGGCCTGCAGCATTGCTATCTCAAGGGTTTTGCTGAAGTGCTTTGTTTCCTCCAGAACTATGGAGGATGCCCCACTAAGCTATCTTTTCTCCCTTCCTGCCCAGACCTTCTGGTAGACCTGAAGTGGACTAGGTGTGATCAGAAGTGAAACAGCTGTTAAGACAGTGCTTCTATCTCTGTATCTCTGTATCTCTAATTCAGACATGGCTGATGTGCAAGTGCTTTTAAGTGATAACTAGACATGAATTTGTTAAACATAAAAATTGGAGAACATGCCTGATGAGGTTGAGTACTGAATCAAATCCTTGCCTTTAGGAAGGTTGGTCATTAAATTCCTGGCACTTGCATCATATCAGGAGGCCTTGAGCTGAATGCAATATTAACTTCTCTCTGTCTTGTATGGTGGGGCTCTGGGAGGGTGGTGGGGAGCCAACCCACAAACTCATCAGGTTGGCTTTGTTTCTGAGACTACATAACATGCAAAACACTGTGCAGGCATGGTTGATATCTGTTTAAATTCAAGGTCTGCTGCTGTATTTAATATTCTAGAGCTGAGCTAGAAGATCTTTCAGCTGGCTGAAAGGAAAAGCATGTCTTAGGCTGTAAGATATGCTACTGAATTTTGTCTTTCAGACTCTACCTTACCAGGAATGAGCTGGATAATCCTCACAAATCTAAAACATGGAAAGTCTATAGTGAGACATTTGCTGTGGAAGTGAACTTTATTGATCCATAGGGGAAGACTGAAAGAAGGGAAACATGTAAAATTAATCTCTTTCCTGGAGAATGTCTTGCTGTTTCAGCAAAAGTGAAGCAGTGTTATTTGTATGTACTTAATGTATTTCTATGTAGATACAACTTCTCAAATAAAGTTACATCAAGTTCTGTTGTGCAGGGCAAAAAGACTCTGAAGAGTTACTTAATTCACAGGCTGTTGAATTCTTGGAGTTTAGATATCTCTGCATACAGCTAATTCCTGTTTGAGTAATCTAAGACAATTACCTGTCTCGAAGTATGAGCATTAATCATGATGGTGGATGAAGACCAGCAGTCTGTGTGAGACTGGAAAAACCTGACATGACTCTCTCAGCATTGAGGTTTTCCACAGATCAGTAGAATATGGGAATTTTGAGGGAGAAATATTTATCTCCCTCTGTTGGGTTGTTTCTTCTTGAGCAGAAGCCTTGGTATTGAACTGCTCTTTATCAGTAACCAGTGATGTAGGTCTTTGAGCAACACCTGGCCTGGGAGCTGCTTGTGGAGGTTGGAGACTGCACAGCTGTGTTTCTACTGCTTTACCTCCCTACAAAGGGCTGCAATGGCCAGTTGCCCTAAGGCTTAAGTCTGGTTCTCATCAGCTCCTGAGCATTCAAGCTGTCTGGAATCAGCATGGCTGCCTTAATACCTGCATTGAGGGGGTTGATCCGTGAACAAATGGTGCAAATGCTTACTGGCTCCTCTTGAGTTGTACTAAGACCTGTAATGCACAAACTTCCAGGATGCTTATTCTGCTTCCAACTATTCTCAGCAGAGCAGCTCTTCTGTGGACACTGTGCCTTCATTTGTGTGGAATGTGTTGAGGTGTTAGCTTCTTGGGTCTGCTGCTTCATTAATCTTTTTGTTGTTGGGAACCAAAAAGTGGAAGTGTTATAGCTTTTCAGTTAATGAAATAAGCCCAGGTTATATAATAAGCAGAGGTCATATACCTCCCCTGTGCTTACTTGAAGGTAGTTATGTACTATGAAGTACACCATGTGTGGACTCAACTTCTGCTATTGCTATGTATTTACCTCAGTGCCCATGTGAATGTGGCTAGGGGCTAAAAAAGGATGCCCTTTTATTGCAGCTACAAGTGGCTGATTCCCAAGTTCGTTTTGGCTTAGCTCAGGCTATTGGATATTTCTGTCCTAGGATGCCCTTTTGTATAGTTGGCAGGGTGACCCATCTTCCTGCTAAGGGAGTAAGCCAGTTCCCTCAGATAGCAGCAGCAGAGGCTGTAACAGCAAGTCACATTTTTCTAGCTGAAGCACATGCATTTAACTAAAAACTAATGTGTAAGCAGGAATGAGGAACAAAATAGCTGTACAAGGGATATACTATGTTTCTCTTGGAGATCCAGGCACCACTGCTCAGAAGAGGGTAACAGTAGGCCCTGCCTCCCTGTTGTACTGACCTTCACAGAGTAGTGGGCATTCATCCCTTACCTATGTGGAATTTACATGACCTGTTCTGGACTCCTGGACTTTCTGATGGAAAACCTTATAGCCTGTATTGTGGTAATCTAGAAATCTGGAATTTGATGTGAACCCTAATACTAGAACTGATTTTGGTACTAACAAAACAGCAGGCCAAGTGCTGAAATACGGGTTTCATTTTCCATAGATGTAAAATCAGCAGTTGCTTCATAGCACCTTACTCTAGTTGGCCCCCTTCTCCTTAGTTTTGAGGGCTTTATATGTTCATTGATTAAATAAAGTCTTTCTTTAATTCCAGAGAGGTGGTGATGCTGAATTCAACCTTTTTGTTTCTCAGCTAGATGAGCTTGTTAAATGGCATAAACAATCATCAAGTACTCAGTTAATCAAATTTAACTTTATTTCTGTGAATTTCTATACCAACATCATGAAGTTTTTAGCTGAACAACTGATACACGTGTACAGCTTAAGCAGCTCTGAATGGAAAAACTACTGCTTACATCAACTTCAGAAGGTAAACTCTCAAAAATGCCACCAGCTTCTTGCTGTAGGTTGTTTTAAATACCCTGCTTCTCTTGAAGCTTCAATTTTTGTATTAAAAAACTGCAACATGAGCTTTAAAAAATGAAAGCAAAGACAAATCTAAGAAATAGATTGAAATATTCCACTGAGGTGGAGTCTGTCCTCACCTTTTCATAACTACTAGAACCATGTACAAATATACTATTTCTCTTAGCTAGACAACTTGGAAAAGAAGGGGAGGGCTAACAAACTCTTAAAGCTTCATCTTCCTACCTGAATCATTTGAACATTTGGTATAAATTTCTTTTAAAATACTGGCAATGCAGAGTAGTGCTGCCCCAGTGTACCAGTCAGTCAAAGTATATTCAGTGCAACAGACACTGAAGATTCTTCAGCCATGACCTGCTTTAACTGCCTTTTCTCATGGTATGTGAAAGGGAGGTGAATTGTTCTTTTTGCACTTGGAGGCTGGAATGAGATTTTGTGGAACTGCAGCAACCAACTTCCATCACAGAGGCTGCAACAATGCAAGGAATGAGCCAGTTTAAGTGCACCCTGGCTCCACTGCAAGAAGCAGCAGGTATTGGGGTGATTTCATCTATGCTTAAAGCTTGTTCCTATTTCTGGGATCTGAAAGGGAAGCTGTAACATATAAAACTAGGTTGTTCCTGCTCTGACTGTTATCTGTCACTGGCAAATGTGGTTTCTGCGACAAGCTGCTACTCTCCATGTAGCTGTGATGATCTCAGCAAGTTAAAGGTCTCTATGCCCCCCACTCTCCTCACACTGGTGGGCTGCACTTAGAGCACCCAGGAAGCATCTCTGTACAGCTCCAGAAGTTTGTGCTGCTCTAAGACCTGCTCGGCTTATTCCAAGATAAGGCAGTAGCTGCTTGTCACAAAGCAGAGCATGCTCGTACACAGTGCATTCTTCTTGAAGAACAAAAGTGGCATCTGGAAAGAGGTGTCGCTGCATCATTTTCGGTAATACTGACTAACTGCACGGTTAATCAAGTACCATGACCAAGGAGGCCATGCCCTCCAGGCCTGAAGGTGATACAAGCTATCCAGTCAAACCAGCTTTTCCACTCAGCTGAAGAGGCACAGCAAGGCCAAGACTCCTGCCCCAGTAAGACTGCTATATCAGAGACCATGGTGTCAGTTCTGGCTGTCTGTTCCTCTTCAGCTTCCTGTCCTTCCAGCATGTGGCCTCATTCATGCCAAGGTGACCTAAATGGGAGCCTGCACAAAGTTACAGTTCTGTGCTCAGAAGCAGCAGCTATTTCCAGCACTGTCCCTATTGTTAAGCACTGTTATTAAGTATTGTTAGCATACTCCAGCACTTCTTGAAAGGATTTAGAAAACAATACAATGCAATATAGCCTTCTTAATGTTGTTACTGTACTGCTTTTATCAAAACTGCAGGCCTATCTTGGGCTCTAAGTCTCATATGAGGTAGGGGGTGAATGTTTCCTACTTCTATAAACCCATTCACTAGGACAGTATGTAAGTCAGATGCCTTTGCCATTAACTTATCAAGTCACAGAGCAGAAGTGAGATGGAGCAGGACAGGGGGTATAGCTGGAGAAGGAAAGGTCTCCCTAGGTGAGGAGTATGTCCAAGTCACCTATACTCAGGAAGATTAGACAAGAACTGACGTTGTTTTGCGTCAGATAACAACTGCAAAAGGTCACAACTGCAGCAGTTTTAAAACCAGTGCTTTGTTGTAGACAAATCACAACCTACTCTTGCATATTACCTTAAACCCCACAGGTCAGTGTAAATATTTTTAGCACCATTACAGGTCAGGAAAGACATTTATGACATGCAGTGTACCTAGTGCAGAATCTGTAAGAGGGGAAATAGTTCTGCTTGTGCAATTCAAGCAACATGTACACACCTCCATAAACTCACCTGATTTTAAAAGATTACAAATCTTAAAGTGGAATTGAGCTCCTAAAATTAGGTCACTGATTTGGTTCTGCTCAGACCATCATGTGATCTATGTGTTTTTCATCATTTATTTAAAAGACCCTTAAACAATCTCTTGTTCTTGGTCTGCTAGATGGTATCAGTAAGAATCTATTTGTTTCATCATAAGTTTCCGGCTGTACTCGTAGGCAAGGAATAGTGCCCCGTTGGCCACAAATGCACGGATCATAGTTGGCGTTAGTCCAGAATACAAGGCAAGCACACCTGGAAATAAAACCAGAGCCAGTTATCAATTTATTAAAGTGACTGTGCATCAACTACTGTGCTCTTACCTTTGTAGGATACTAAGCAATGCTTCTGCTTAGAGGAGCATGAACACAGAGAGCTGAACTCACTAGTGTAGCTACTGATTGTAGTGGTACTGGATATTGATATGGGAGTATTTAATGTTGTAACAGGAGTTTAGCCATGTAAGGGCTTATACTAGATGCTTATTTCAGGTATGACTAGGTCTTGGTCAGCTGAGATAACTTGACAATGGCTGTACCACAGCTGGCAAGGGGGCAGCAGGACTATGTTAGAACTGTATCCCAAGTCAGACTCTTCTTGGGAGTCTTATCTAGCAATGGGGCCAGAATTCATATCTGCTGCCATGTATATTCTCAGACCCTCTTCCAAAGCACCTGACAAAGGCCATTTCCAGAGAGGAGATGCTGAAGTAGATGCCTCAAGTTGCCAGGCTGGATAGGGCTGTTTGATAAATCAATCCTCAGCCACATATTAACTTAGAGGTGAAGAAAACTTCTGCATGAAACTTACCTAGTTCCTTTAGTTTTCATGTATAGGTTTGGTCACAGGTAATAGAGCTCATTTCATTATTTGCTTTTAATGCATAGTAGTTTTCTGTTAGGTTTAAGTGAATCATCATCTCCTGAACCAAGAGGCAGGGAAGATGTAGTAGGTCTCAGTTTCTAGATTCCAAGCTTCCCACACTACATGAAGTAGATACTTGTTTGCTAGAAACAGTTATTGTCTGTCTCTAACACATGATCACTGTACTAGGTTTCTTAAGTAATTTTGGGTATTGGAGGGTATAGATTTCAGTCTGCAGCCTTATAGATTCAGTTGATCTGCTTGCATACTCACCTTCCGTTCTCACAACAGTTAAAAATGTTCCCATAAAGCCTGCCTGTTTTCCAGCCATTGAAAGAACCTGAATTCTAGATTTGACACAGTCCACAGGATACACAGCAATCCACAGACAGCTGCCTCCGAAACCTCCGCTCAGTAACAAAGGAATGGGACCTAAAAGTTAAGAAATATGCTTTTATACACCACACTTTCCCCAACACAAATATAACATTATTTCATCTACAGGATTCAAAGGGAACAGAGGAACCTGCTTATGACAAAAGAGCAGTTTCTGTTCTCTCAATAACCTTTAAGTTAATTTCAGCCACTGGTAAATTGCAAGTCTTAACTAGAAACTCAGAGATTATAAAGAGCACCTCTTAGATTATTTGCCATGCTAAAAAACTGTAACTCAAAGTTCAACTTTAACTCTATTAACTAAATTCACTTTTTTAACACTTGTAATAACCTTCCAAGGTTAATTGTGAAATGGCTTAGAGTAACATCATATAGTGCTACTAATCACATATACAGAGATTTATTTGGTACAGTGGAGTTATTTTGTGACCGGTCATTTCTTTCATGATGTACCCCAATTTTGTGTTTCAGATCAGATGTTTTTAAGTGTTTTGTTACAAGTCCAAAATGCATGCAGCTGAAATCCTGACTCCACGCAAGACAAAGTATTACTGGTTCAGTCTTTTACCAGGAAACAGGCAATCTTTATTCTTGCATCACTGTTTTTTTTCATTTCTAATTTTCAATCTCAGTGTTCTCTTACTATCAGTGTAACTATATCAAATGGTCAGCATACAGTTCAGCATATACTTGAACACACTGTTCAAGGGAATGCAGCTAAATACTTCAAAATCACTCTGAATGCCAGCTGAAATGTCTTGTGTTACACTGTGGGGTCAGATATTTCCGCAGTTTTGTAGTGTTAGCTCATTGTATTAATTCTCTATTTATGATGCATCCTGTTTCATTGGAAAATGGTCACTTCAATAATTTATTACTATAGATACACAAAATACAGCCCTCCATATTTAATATGCCTAATTTCCTTCATTTTGCATATATTTTACAACATCATTAGTATATCTTCAGGGAAGATACACTCTCCTTTACGTCCCTCATGACAGCATGCTAAAACCCACCTGTAAAAAGGTACCATACCTAATTCATCTTTTGGTCTCCCAGAGGCAAAGAATGTCCGGCTCAGTTCATACCCTCCAAAGAAGAAGAAGTAGCCTGGGACTTCCCGCAGCAAAGTGCTGGACAGGCCACGATAAAATCCAAGGGGACCATCCTTTTGGATAACACCCTTCACTACTGACCAAACTGTACTGAGAGAGGTTGATCCAGTCAGTGATACTAGCCAGATAATAAGAGGTTATAGAACAATAGGCAACTGCAGCAACAGTTAATGGTGAGACCTATTGGGCAAATAATTGGATTCATGTAAGACTTAGAGCAAAATCCTGCTCTGAGGAGCAAGATCTGAAGGATCCTGAAGGAGCCCTTCACTGGCATCCAGCTTTACTATCACCCAGAAGGTCTGCAGGCTATGACCCTCCCAGCCACAACTCTCCTCTGGTTAGCAGTGCACTACAAATGTGACACTGAGCCAACACAGGATTTGAAGAAAT